CACCAACCACTGTTCTTACAATCATTGGTTCTAATCTCCTTTTGCTGCCACATCTTCTTCTTGAAATTCTTTTACCATGGATCTTCAGATCTGCTGCTGTGACACCAAACTATTCAATTACAGACAAGATTCTTTGGGTCACAATTCCACAGCATCCTATTAATCAGCTGCCTTGCAGTACCATTCAACTTTACCACTGCATCAGCTTGTTTAGGCTTTCTCAAATCACTAAAGTTATTATTACACTGTGTAAAGGACTAATATCTTCATGTCTCTCCTCTCTTATAGATGAACTGCAAATTAATTCCATAAAAATAGCATTTCATTGAAATGACCTAAAGAAGGATTTTTTTTATTATTTCTATCCAACATTCCCAACAAACAAGTCCCTATTCTCCAGCACCCTTACACATCTGGTGAAGACTATCAATCACAACCTCAGCTTCGTGCCTACTGTGAAAACCCCTATACTGCCCATGTCTTCCCTTCCTAGACCTTCCATTGTATGCTGTATACCTTGTCTTTGTCTATATTTACAGTATAATGTACTTTTTGATTGGGTGTCCATTTTCTTTGTGATTTCAAAATTATCTACAATTAAATGCTCTTCTGAGCTATAGGTCAGAATATGTTGTTGATGCTGTGGTAGAGCAATCCAGGAGAATGTCTTTGATGGCAAGATGGAGAAAACTATTTCTAAAAACCACCATATCAATACATTTGTAAAACTGGAGAACAAGAACAACTTACCAAAGAAAAACTTTAATAAAATAAAGTTGCCTCTCCCTATCTTCCTTGACCAACAATATTAAAGACCTCTTTATGTATGACATATAAAGTAAAGGTCTGAATAAAGTAATGAAGGATGCATTTCTTTTATTTCTCTGCAAGGACAAGTGGCTTATGCTGAAATACATACAGTAGCTGTACTGTAAAAGAAAATGTTACACCATAATTATGCTGTAAAACATTCAGTGATGAAGCACAACAATATTAAAAGAAATATTTGCCATTGAAACCAGTGAAATTACAGTGAATGTCTATAATATATGTAATATATTTAAGAAATATACTTACTCATACTTAACAAACTCTGAGTTCTCAGATCAGTAGTGATTGGTATTGCTTGTAGAATACTTTGCTTTACAAAATATCTAATAGTTTTCTTCCATTATAGGCCGTTTTAAGAGTTACTGAGGACAATTCAATGATAAACACTTATACAATTCAGACCTGGGACAAAAAATTTAGAATGAAACCAATATACTCCTGTTCTTGCAGGCCCTTGTTGCATGGCTAGGAAGATTCGAAAGTATTCATTCAGTATTGTAGAGTAAAATGTGACTCTTTATAAAAAGGTATGAATAAAAATAATCTGTGGATGTTCCTGTTAATGCACAAAACCCTACAGAGGGGAGTTCAGATGTAATATTTTGCATTTATAGTGAATTAAACTTAAGAAAGGATTAAGACAACAGAAGCAATGGTAGTCCTGATGCCAGGTTTGAAAAGGTTTACCAAAAGCACCATTCCACTTGTACTTCTAACACCTGTTATGCAATAAGATAAATAAATTGTCAAATAAAGCACTTTTCTTCCCCCTAACTTATTTTCCCTTCTTCTTCCAACAAACCTTCAATTTTTGCTGTACTACTGTGCCACCCATGAAGGGAAGAGTGTATGACAAACAGAAAAAGTATTAGGATTAGAGTAAACGCATCAGTAAATATTAAAATTCCAGTTTTGGAATTTATTTGCTAGTTGCTTTTAAGCAAGGTACAGTATGCTTCAATCACATCTTGTTACTGCATTTTTTCTAAATATTATTACAATACCTTAAACCACAGTTATACAGGGAGAACTACAGTTATTATCACTCTCAATGTATCGGTGTTGTATATATTTGTATAACATGTATAGTTAGTATTTTACACAAAGTAACAATGTTACATCACAAAGGGATCACACAGGCTATTTACCTGTGTCCATTTTCACATTTCCAAGGAACCACTCTTTAACTAGCTAAATGTAGCATCTGATTTAGAAAGCGTTATATGAAATCTGCAATGTTTATAGTTACAGCTAAAATATGAAAACAATGAAAAATGCATAAACAAATGTGCAGCTAATGGATAGATGCTTCTGATGGGATTTTACTCTGAACATGTGCCCAAACAGCTTGTTTCATGTACTTTAACTACAGTCTCTAATGGCAGGAGTTTTCTTTCCTATTCCTCATAGAATAACTTTGATATATACTGTATTGGTCTAGAATGGCTTTAAGGCTTCAGTGTCTGTCCCCAATTAAACCTTGCCTGTAACACAGAGCTGGGTGATGTTTTCTATATGTACTGGTGGTATTTAACAAAAAAAAGCCGCACTACTTCCATTTTCCCATGGAAAGTGCTGGGTGTCTTCTGGAGCAAATAAAAAGCTAAAATAGGGGGCTTACAGCACAAATACAATGATTTACAGCAAGGGACAATAAATTAATTTAAGATTTAACTATATTTCCTGCAGCTAGATATTATCAAAGCTAAGAAACTTTATTTTAAGAATTCTAAACCTCTTCATTGTAGCGGGTATGCTTATTAATAAGACAGAATTAAGTGTTGCTGTACCTTCCTAGTGATGCCTCTCTCTCATCTCTGTGATCCAGCCACAGAGAAGCCACTCATGTGCTCATTGCTTAGGAATGTTGTGTTTCTGATAAGGATTGGGAGGCAACAGGCAAGCTATTATAATTGATGGCCTACTCCTGGCACCAGGATGCCTGGTCAGAGCAACTTGGACCCTACAAACACTCGGTTTATGGTCCTAGGGTTAGAGGTCATGGTCAGTCATTCCTCAAGTTGACCAACCAATCAGGAACCTGAAGGGCACGTGGGTCTTAAATGCCCACCATACTCTTGACCAATCACTGCTTGAATGTGTTCTTGTTAAAAGACAATGCAGAACTCGCAACCTTGCTCCTCCGTCCACTCTTGGGCTCTCTGACTTAAACTTGTGACTGCCAGCACTGTTGTCTGAATGTGGGACTAATTTTGGTCCAAGCACTGAGCCAGAGGAAGCACAGACCAATTTGAATGCCAGCAAACTGCCGTGGACGCCGCCTGATCAACGGAGCATATGGCTGGACCCTTGTCGACATCTGAATACCTTATTCAGAAGTAGCCACTAAGCCGGAAGCAAACTAAGTTTCTTCCCCCAAAGAGTGACTTTCTTTGACTGACACAGTCACTGCTTTGTGCACAGAGAGATTCCATAGTTCAGTCCGGGTGCTAACTAGAGAGGTACTTGGAAAGCAATGCTGTCTTACACCACAGCAGCAGATGTCTCTCCCTCCATCTCCCCGCAACTCCAAGCACCAGTCAGCTGTTCTTTGCTGTTCGTGCCGGGAGATATAAATTCATACTGGATAAGTAAATCCAATATTCTACATTGTCGATTGAGAATTCAATTGTATCTTAACACAGGTTGATATCGATTGAATTCGTATAAGTAATGTATCTACTTATTAGTATCTAATATAGAATTAGTATTAGTATGAGACTGATTAATGAAATAGTATAGCGAATGGTATACTAAATGCATATTTCTTTGTTTTATATCTCTTCGTGATTATATGCTGTATATTCTATATCTTGGGAATACAATAAGATCTGCCATATGTTTTTATATGCACACTTTTATGCATTAATAAATGTATTTAGTGGATTTTAACCCATGTGTGTGTATTGCTGATTGTTCTAACGTTTGATTCCCTAATAGCTATAAAGAACCACCTTGCAGTTTACTGTTACAATAAATAAATTGTCCCAGTAAATTCACAAAACTCCTGCAAAATAATTGGTAACCTTGATAATCCTTGGTAACCTTGCTGTGACACTGTCCTACAATTTCTAACTGAATCATATTTTTATTTTTTTCCAAGTTTTTAGTTATGACTTTGATGAAGGATTGAAGATTTGATTGATTTGAAATGATTGATTTTATTGAAACGTCCACATTCATTGTTTTGATCTGCGGAACATCTTATTGAAAATAAACCTAACATGAAACTGTTCATCAAAGGTGTAATATCACAGGATAGGTGTGGAGCTTTTAACAATTTTATATCAAGTCTAAGAGGATCCAAAAGTACTTTTATATAGTATAGAACTTATTTTTTTACTAAAGACCTTTCTATTGTTCCACACTGAGGACCTCATCCTTAACTATGGCAGTCCAAGGGAACTGTGAACATAAAACATGTGGTGACAGTTAATAGTACAGGAGGTTTTATTTCTGAATTGCTTGTGGGTCTTACACTTTAAACAACATTGAGAGAAGCACCCATCTCTCTACAACTTCACAGGTTCTAACAACAATTGTCTCCCTGGTGTGGTATAAACATTCTTTTATTCTTAAGAAATATGGTGCATTAGGTGTACATAACTTTGGTAATTTCCTCAGAAAATACTGTTGAGGTTTTTCAGGCACGTGTTGAAGGTAAAAAAATCCTGTACTTCAGTGAATCTCTGAGTTATTATTCACTTCAATTGGATGCTGAGTAACAGTTGGAAGGAGCTACTCTAGATTATCCTGAGAATTGTCAAACTCACTTCAATGAAGATACAAAGTGCAGAGAGCAGGTCAGCTAGGCAGGGCTCCAAAGGCAAGAATTGTCATTTGAGCAAAAGCACTGTGATGTAATAAATATGCAGAAGAAATATTTACTGGAATTACTGTCTGGCTCCAGCTGAGTCATTTTTCAAGGGCCCATTTTAGCCAAGAAAGCATTTATTTCATTACCCTTTTCATCTTAGACTTGAAGTTTTTTGAGCATATTGAAAAAACAATCAACAAATTTTGTCTGGTGAAAAATGTAGAAAGTAAAATGTGCAAGTCAGATATTACACAAACACAGTGCATAAATGATTGATTACTATATATGCTTTAGTATGTATTTGGCCTTTCACCCTATGCTAATGTTAAAACAATAAATAATGAAAACTTACAGGATTGAAATATATCCAGTCGTCACGATCTTATTTCTGTGTGCTTCCTTTCTTCCCAAAAGACAAAAAAGATTTGTGGGTGTCACAGTGGTGTGGCTGTTAGCATTGCTAGCTCACTGAACTAGGGGCATTCGTTCAATTCCAGACCTGGGGTGCTATCTGTGTGGAGTTTGTAAGTTCTCCCTGCGTTTGAGTTTTCTCTGGGCTCTGGTTTCCTTTAACAGTCCAAAAACATACTGATAGGTTAATTGGGTTGTAAAGCCCTCCTCTTAAGGATGCTTCAGCCCTTCCTCGTTTACTTGATCTCCTGCACCTGCCTCCTGTTCAAGTCTCCCCTTTAAAAGCCAGATGCTTCTACCAATCTAGGCTCAGCTTTGGAAGATGGATGCCGGGAAGCCCACCTACCAGCAAGCCCAGGAGGGGATCGATGGCATAGGCTTCGCAACGGCATACTGACCATCTGGGTCCGGGGCTTGGAGCACCTGGCCCCGTTACCCTTTTTTATTCCGCCGACCCTTTGCCGGATCCTGCTCCGGCTTTTAACTTCGTCTGTCTTCATCACTGATGAACCACCCGGTTCTGGACATTTGCCTCCACATGGAATTCCTAATGAACACCTTTCGGACTTCTTTGCCTTGGACCACGTCCCCCCCAAAACACCGGCGCACCTTGGACATGCCCCCCTGTTCTTCCAGCCCCGATCCTAGTCCTTTTTCCCTGTTTTTGTCTCACTCCCCTCTGGATTTTGCCGTCGGCATAGGGTCCTGAAAGACATTTCGTGACATTTGGTTATGGGAAAATTTACCCTGATATACAGTAAGTGGGTGCATGTTTATTTGTTTCTGTGTGTGCCCTACAATGGAATGGTATCATGTCCTGGTTCTACCTCATGACTTTGAATTGGATGAATGAAAAAAATGTAGGATAGAGTATGATTCTCTAATCTATTTTACACCTTTTTACACATAATACAACTGTAAAATATAAGAGTTCTAAATGTTCTCAAATCAAACAAGATTTGAGTGTTAACACTTGTGTATTAATTCTAGACTAAGTTGAGAACTAGTACAGTGGGGACTCCTTAATGTTTCCCTTTAATTTATTTGGTGAACTAATTTCTCATTGCCATACTTGATTTGTAATCAAGGCTTTTACATACATATTGTGGTTGGTGGCAGATGTGTATACAGTATATAAGATATCACTTTATAAAATACTACATTAAATGCAGAGGTGAAATGCAAGGTCAGTGCAAATATCATGATCCCATTTCAATCCTAGCCAGCTTTCACCATATATGTACTGTATGTACAAGAAGCAGATTAAATAGAGCATGTTAAATAGGCATGTTTCTGTTAATTAATTAAAAAGTTAGAGGGAAACACATATGATCTCGTTTGACATTCTGAACAAAGCGCAAACCGTGGAGGAGAGATCACCCCGTGCATTTGACTTTTGGGGGTAGTATGATATTTGTAACCCAAGACACCAATCCTGCAAGACATGTGCAGAAAATGCATTTGCACTTCAAAGCACTACTTTTTCAGTTCCTCTAATATCTGTGATGTTTCCTTATTCTTGTGTATTAAGAAATTACAGTGGTTGTGTATAGTTGTACATAACATTTTTCACATGAATGTACTAAACATACACTAACATAAAAACAATATTTAAAATAAAATTAAGGTAAAGTGATCTTCCAACGAATTTCAAATATGTCTTATATGTGTTATATAATTACCCTACACCATTGTGCTTCAGTGGATCTGCCACTAAACAGTTGGAAGTCAGCTTCGTTTGTAAAGAATACTATTTTGCAGGTTTGATAATTCAGTTGTTTTATTACTTCCCCCATTTCCGGCTTTTTGATTTGTTGCCTCTTCTGAGCCAAGGTTTCCATGCAGCTGCAGGTCAATTGTGACCATTTGACATCAATTTGCATTTCTAATTTCTTAAATAATATATAAATGCAAATAAATGCAAACTTGTACTTGTAGCAAACTCATATGTAAGATCTCACATCACATCAAGAAATTAATCTAAGGAACTCAATACCATTTTTTGGAGACCTTTCTTCCTCTACAAAATCAATTGTCACCAGCACTAGTTTCAAAAACACTAAAACATGCCTTAAAACTAAATATTGGATGGTAATGTATTGATAGGCTTTTATTAGCTAAAACTTTTAATTCCATATGCTTACCATGCCAGATTTCTTGCTAACTGATTATTGGTCTGACAACAAATTATATAGGTCTGTATTATGGCAATATATTACAGTAACCCAAAATACCTTTATCCAAAACATTTAATGTGTATCATTTTTAATATGGAAACATGGGGTTTTTCCCCATGTTTCCATAATAATTTCTAGTACTGTACCTATGCTGTAGAGAACACTACATCTTTAATGAGTTCTGAAGAGAAATGTAAGCAGCTTGTAAATAAGTATAATTTATTATTATATTGTGAATGAGTCATTAGACTGTTATTATTAAATGTTATTATTAACTATCGATTTGGAATCATTTTAGAATAACTTCCTTTTTTAGTTTCTGTATTATGTTTAATAGATTATTTTGTAATTGAAAGTTCATGAAACAAATGGCAAGCCACATTCCTTGATGACCTAGATATTGTCTGATTTACATACACTCTGGGATTTGTGTTGTTCTGTTGCGAGTTGGTGAAACTTAACATAGAAAATGTAAAGGACTAAAAGAGACTAAAGAGATTCCTAAAAGACAGTCTCTAGGTCCAGTATCAACAGTATCAAAGGGTGACTGAATAGGTCTATGTAACTCTGGAGAAGCAATTAAGCAGTTTATGTCTTCATTACTTAATGTATTGCTTATATACAGAATACAGTATATTCTATCTGTTTTGGTAAAACTCACAAACCTATAGGGTAATATATTAAAATGTTGCTTAAGCTGTGTTTTATGTGATGGGATATCATACTTTGTTTTAATAGAAACACTGCAGTGAATACCAATATGAGTTTTCCAAGGTTCATTGCACCACAAAGAAGTATAAGCAATTACTGTACATTAAAGATAATCTATTCACATTAAACTGGATCTTTCACTGGCCAAATCACACTGAACCAGATTCAGTTCAGTTAGAAAATGAAATGAAAATTCAGACTCAGGACCTTGAATGTTTGAATTCAGACTTGACTCAACATTAAAAAGTTGTAGGTTAACTGGATTCTGGGGAAGTCTGCCCTGGTGCAGTATGTGTTTTTATCTGTTTGTGCACTGTGTGTAGACTGGGATCCCATTCAGGGTGTATCTCACTTTATGCACATTGCTTGCTGGGTTAGGCTCCAGCTGACTCTGTGACACTATAGCAGAGGAAAGGATAAGAAAAGGGGTGATTTTTCATCATTTCATTAAGTTCATCATTTGATACTTATTGGACCTACACAAGATAGGCATTACCTCAGGTGTACACAAAAAATGCATTTTCATGTGATTCAGTTTACTGCTGACTCATTCACTGTTAAATCCAGTAAGATGTGATTTGTTGTTTCATAATGAGCAAAAAAGAAGAATCTTTATCTTTATCCAGTTTCATTTTTCAATTGTTTTGGTGCTAGTATTAGGAAACATATAGCATACATTTGATTGTGGAACATAACAATGTCTATTGCAGGGTAGGAAAATAGGAACATAGATTTTATAACCTTTCAGTGACAGTATATGTGAAGGAACTGAGGGAGGTTCTGTGGTAATTCCTCTGTAGAATCCCATCTGGATTTCTTCCTTGGGAGTTTGCCTGGTCAGATAAATCATGAGTAAGGAGGAAAACACTTACGGTATGGTCTATTGACTGTAATATCCTTTGAATTGTACTGCACATTAGGGACAGAGGAATTGTGCATTTGAGTTGTTATCATTGCTCCTAAATGATCAGGTCATCTTCTCATTGTGGGTACTTTTGTTATCCACCTCCTCTTTCTTCCTTTGCTTATGTGAAACTTCAGCAGAAAATGCCCTTTTCTCTTATTTTTGGGAGTGGTTTCATAAGCCCAACTTTTTAAACAAGATCACTTGCAATAATATATTATTATTGCTGAGTGACCATCCTATCAACAGCAGTAATGCCAATCAGTCATTATGCAAGTCAGTCTGCTTTTGCTGCTCAGATACAGTACATCTACTGTAGAGATGAGTCATCATTGAACAAAAGAAACACAAGATACTTTTCCCCAAAATGGCAGATAGAAACTCTTCCCAAAACACAACCACATCCCAGGTTTCCCACATCATATGTACAGTATGTCCCTGTTCCATAAAGTACTGAGGGTGTTTTTTACAGTGCAGAGAAAAAGTTCTCTTGAACCCTCTATAATTGTTCCAAACATAAATAAACATAAAGACAGAAAATATATATTAGGGATAGTTAAACAAAATGGAAAAGATTAGTAAAATATTCTCAAGTGAATATTACTATATACTGTATTACTGAATCTCTATATTCAGTAGCTGGTGGGACGTTTTGAGCAGCAATAACTTCACCGAGACATTTACTGTAATTGTTTCTCAGCCACTTAGGGTACAGTACATCAGCTTTTATGAATTTGGACCCATTGTTCCTTTAAGAACTGCTTAAAGTAATTTGGGGGTATCCTTGCATGAAGTGCTTACTTCAGGGCCTGCCATAACATTTCAATGGGATTAATGTCCAGACTTTGTTTTGGAAAATGTGAAATTTGTTCTTCTTCAGTCTTTCTGTTGTAGATCTCCTTGGAAGTCTATGTCTTGCTGCATGATTCACGTTTAGCTCTACTTCAGCTGATGAATCGATTGCCTGACATTTTCCTCCAGAATATGCTAATACAATGACAATTTCATGGTTCCTTCAGTCATGGCAAGCTCTAGGCCCAAGGTACCAAAGCAGCCCCAAACCATTATACTCCCACCACCATGTGTGACAGTTAGGATGTTTTTTTCTCTTTTTTTTTGGAAAGCAGTGTTTGGTTTTCTCCATACAAAATATTTCTTATTATGGCCAAAAAGCTCAACGTTTGGAATTGTCTGTCCAGAGAACATGTTTCCATTAGCTTAATGGATCAAACAGGTGTTCTTTGGCTAACCTTAGATAGGCGGTAATGTTTTTTTAAAAGAACAATAGTTTCTTCCTGACTATCCTCCAATGAAAACCATTTGTTTTTAGTCTTTTCCCTGTGGTTATGAAAACTGACATTAGCCAGTGAGAGAGACGTGCAATTTCTTAAATGTTATTCTTTTGTTTTAGTGACCAGGATGGTCACAAAACACTCCAAAATCTTTTTATTTTGGTGTGTCATGTTTCACTAACCGGTATGGTAAAGCCTTAATAATTCTGACCATTATAAAAATCTTGTTACCAAAGTATTTAACCGTCTGATTCTACTTAGCCCCTTAAACTAGGGGTGCAATTACTGTATTAAGTATAGACACTTATGCTCAGATATTTATATTTTATATTTCATACTGTATACCACTACACCTCAAAAACACTGATTTGGTAAATATAAACACTTCAATATTTTAGAAAAGACTGGTTTCTAATAAACAAGGCTATCATGGTAACCTCTCTAACTCTCATAATTATCATAAACTTTTATTCATCAATGTACTGCATCACAGTATAAAATATTATTTTTTTACATTCAATGGGATTGTAAGCTTAAGAGGCCATAAGTGTAAAATTAAAAGATATAAAATTGGTGGCTGTGACACTTTTTAAAATATTCTATTCTATGTTTTCAATGGCG